GGAAGAGACCGCTGGGGAGACCTAGACGTAGATGGGAGGATAATGTCAGGCGGGATCTATGGGAGATAAGAATTGAAGGAGACTGGATTTTGTGGGCCCAGGACAGGGTCCGGTGGAGGGCTTTGGTTAATTCGGTGATGAACCTTCGGGTTCGGTAAGCCATCTAGTTAGTTAGTTAGTATGTTGACTTCTCAGACAACCGATAGATACATTTAGCACTAGGCATCAAATGAATTAAAGTGAGGTAGTGAGGAAGCAATTACAATTTTTTTTTAAAATCTAGATACCGATCTGTACTAGACAGGAACTGTGGAGTTAATATTTACTTTAAGTTTGCACACACTTTGGTGTCCATTTAATCATATTCACTTATTGCTTCACCTATTTAATTTAGGCAGCAGAGGCACAGGTAGAAGCACTGAAGATGAGGAAGGCAGATAAAGAAGAAGTGATAGAAGCTCTGGCTGAAAAGGTTGATAGAGAATTGTTGGAAGACAAGATCTCACATGATGAATTCTTCGGTGTTTATTCTGGCCTATCCAGAACTATGCAGGAGATACTTGATGAGCTGTCACGTCAGGTACAGTAACAGTTCATGGTTGCCCACAAATTTAATATTTTTGACTGCAGAGCACTTAATTGTGAAACTACTGTTCAAGCTTTTATCATAACTTTCAGTAACAGCTTGATGTCTTAACAGTGAAAGATGAAAAAGAAATAAGATTGGATTTTTCGAACTACATTATTTATTATGTAACTGTACCTCTTTAAGTTCTGTGAAGTGCTTCCACCTTTATGTATCTGTAAACAGAAATAACAAGCTGAATCCATCATAGTAGTCAGACCACATCCTGAAGTTAGGTTTTAAAGGGGGTTGTCAAGTTTTCCTTTCTCTCATCTTACCAAACTGATCTTCTTCTTATTCGAAATTTATAAATTTTTTAGATGTTTAGATGCGGTAGATTCATAAAATTCACATCTCATCAGCAAATATTTTTCATATTCCTATAATACCTGTATACAGTGTACAGTTAGAAGAACTTGTCCATTTATACAGACGAATTAAAAATGAAGATCGACTGTATAAGTCACATTCAGGTTTTATGACCGGCAGTATCTGTCGACTGATTCCACTATCAGGTCTTTCATGAGAACTTTTTGAGCTGCCATCTGTCATAATGCCTTTTCGTCATCCACACATCATTTGGTTCCTGTTTGTTGGTGGTCTGATGAATGTTGTGATGCAGTTCATGTGCCTTCATACAATCATACATACTGTCTCACACAGAAAAATCTGAATCATTCAAATTTGTTTGTGTTAGGGCTTAGTACATTGTATGTGAAGCTAAATGCATGTTGTGAGTGGGATTTTGTTCTAGATTTCTTTTGTTTTGGAACAGACTAAATTCCATGTTTGATCTGACCACCATAGCTAGTGCTATTTTTTCCATTGGAGGCAGATATTATGAATACCATTTGCAGTTTTTTCTCGCTAGTCGAAAAGTTCCCCAGTTATTTTACTGAAGTCATAAGACCCAACATAAAGAATAACTAACTAAAGGTAGATTCTAGGATCTAGAAAAGTGAAATTAAATTAGTATTAGTCTGACAGGTGCTCATTAATTATTGAGTCATTTACACACAGAAACTTTAAGTTATGTAAGACCTGATTGTTAGCAACAGCAAGTGTAGAATGATTTCTGTTGAAACTTCCTTTTCTTACGTTGATGTGAGGGAACCGAACCTAAATCTTTCTTAGAATATCATGAAATGGATTGTATTATATCGGAATCCATTAAATTATGTTCCTTTGTTGTCACTTTTAGTCAAAATAAAATAAAGTATAATTAAAAAATTTAGCAGCTAAAATGTCTTGTGGTTTGGCACTAGAAAATTAGCATCTGTAATCCAAGCTTAACACTCTTTATTATTTATTATACTTGTTTTACCACCATGATATGTTTTGTTATAGGAGAAGGAACTTGAAGAGTCTCTTGCTGAAGCTTCGAATTATACTGATGTCATTTTGGGGAACTATGCGGACAACCTATTCAGTACTTTAGACGAGAGACTAAATGCAGCAATCAAACTGAAAAAGAAATTGGAGGCTGCAAGCACCAGAGTACCAGAGTCTTGGTAAATCAAGAGCAATTTATGAGAAATATAGCTGCTAGAATATTAGAAAACAGTTAGGGTGTATTTTTGCTAGTGTCTGTTATGCTTTATGAGTTATATGTCACAGCAACCACATATACCAGCTGGCTGTGTGTACTACTAAAGCATTACACCAAGGATTCTGACTGGCTGGAATGCTTTAAATCCCCAGATGACATACATTATAGGTTTTGTGAAAGTTTCAGTCTTCACAAAATATTCTTTGTTACAATGGCTTGTGACCAACACCATTATTTTACTGCTGCAGGTAGCAAGTAGTGCCATCATATGATGTAAAGTGAAGCCATCCCATTACATTCCAGTGTTGTATAGCTCCTACTCATTATGCCTCAGTCATGATTTACCCCCAGAAAAGGACCCGTTCCCATGGACAGGAGGCTGGGTGTGCCCCAGAGCTGATATGGACGTAGAGGCTAGAAGAAAATCCTCTGCCCCTGTTAGGGATCGAACACAAATCATCCAGCCTGTAGCCAGTCACTATACTGTCTGAGCTTCTAAACTCATCATAATATGATGTGTGAAACAAATTAAGTATTAGTGTCAGTAACTCCATAGAGCAGAGACCTTCTTGAGAACTGATATCCTCTCAGCAAGTCAAGAAATTACATAGACCCCAAACTTTCATGGCCATGTTCACGAGATCTTGCCATAGGACCCTATCCTGAGACAGGATGTTGATGTCCTGACACCATAACAACCCATTTAATCTGTAATGAAGTAGGATCATTCTCTAGTGTGTCCTGCTTTAAACAGCAACAACAAAAAAGGTTTTAAAGTATTATTCTTGGATTCCAGAATTTGAACTTTATATCTCCAAGTGTCTTACTGTTAAAACAAATACTACTGAATTACCTTTGCATTTATGCTCCAATAATCTCTTCCTTTCATGTTTTCAAAATAGAATGGCGAATACATTTCTTCATCTGTCCCAAGTATGTTACATGCCCCAACTAGCTCACATCTCTTGATTCATTCATCATCACCATCATGTGCACTACAATCCAGATCGGGTCCTGGCTTCCACTACTTTCTGTGGTTTCCTAACAGTGTTTCTTTCACAGAGATAGGTTGTCATCCTATCGCCCAACCCCGAACCTGGAGGACCAGTCTCCTAAATTTATATCCCCCTAGGCCGGGTGGACCGGCTATACTCCTAACATGGGGGATCTCCTTTGATTCATTCACCCCATAATATAGGGCAAGACATAAGCAAATATTTATTTTCAAATGTCTCATTTGGTGTTATGTTCATATTGTGAGATACCAAATTTAATACCCATATAAAACAACAGATAAATTATGGTTTTGAGTGTCTTAAACTCTAAATTATTAGGTAGGAGGTAGGAAGATAAAAGATGTTGAACTGAATTCTAACAAATGTTTCCCAAATTCAGTTTCTTCGTGAATTTAATTTAGAACTATTTCTGTCATTCCAAATATTTGACATATTTTTTAAGAATTCATGAAAAACAATAAGATATAAGTCTAAAGAAAAAAGAAAAAATCTGCATGGTTATGTTTCAGATTCAAAGTCATTGCGATTGGAGACAAGCATCCACCAACTAGATTTGTAAAGTAATGTCATTTCCACCAAAACTATTTGTACTATTTGTTGAGGTAGTACTAGTGTTTAACCATATCCATGACAACTTCATCCTCAATTTTTATCAGCTTTAATTTGTCATTAACTTAATTTCCACCACTCTTCTTTGACAGTATCGAATTGGATATGGAGGATGAGATACCCCGTAATCCACAACATGGAGTCATGCTATTCCCACTAAGCAAGGAAGATATGCTCCGTCAACTTCAAGAAATAGAAGCTAGGTGAGTTTTACAGCAAGGCTTTGTGAACATGTAGGGTGAGAACAAAATAACTTTACACTTTCAAATTCATACAGAAAACAAATGTCGCTTTCACTGGGAAATAAAAACGATAGTTGCGGGAAAGCATTAACATTTTTTTAAAAAAACAATGTTTCTCTTTCAAAGTTACTTATTTTTACCAAAAAAGTCTTTAATGGACAACTGGTTTGTCGAAACTTTACGTTTTAGGCCAAACAGAGCCCTTTCCACGTTCAAAATGTTTTCCTCGTCACGTTCACTAATATTATGCGCATAAAAGAACTACTTCACTTTTCCCAACGCAGCATGTGCTTCGGCAAAACTCGGCACAGCTTCGGGCTCGCATTCGTCTTCCTCTTCCTCACCGCTCCCACCCCCTTTGCGATCTTTACACAACTCATCAATCGTGTCGACTGCGCAGGTGCAAGCTCGCTGTCTACAGCCGCGTAATCACCAAGTTCAATCACGGCTTTCATGACGCCAAATCGAATCCAGTCTTCCTTGAAAGCTATCATACTCATCCTCTTCATCCACACTGACCTTAGAGTCTGCTTCTGTGCGAAGTTCACAACCGTAGCCACCTTTGCGAAAACAATTCACAACAGTTAGTTGTGAGACTTGCCGCCAAGATGCCACTGTGAAATGAATCGCTTGTAGCATGTCGACATCCTTCCCAGCATCCATTGCACAGACAGCTGATTGCACAAGGCGCTTTCTATACAACTGCTTGAAAGACTTGATGATGCCCGAATCAAGCGGTAGCAAGACGCTCGTGCAATTTGTTGGATACTACACGACTTTCACATTTCTTAGAAATGTCGTGTCCTTCGGATGAGCGACACAATTATCCACAAACAGCAAAATCTTTCTACGTTGTGCGCCCATTGAGGCATCCAGAGAACTTAAAAACGCCGTAAAGATGTCTGTGGTCATCACCTTTCAATGCCAGCGTCCTATCCGGGAGGGCGTTGTAGAAAAGTCCGTTCTCATCCGCATTATAATTGTCCCGTTGTTCATATCCTCCAGCAGTGTTGGCAGTCTCTCGAGCCACAGTTCTGTTCTTTCCATATCCGTCTTCCTCGTCGTCGGAGGGCGTTGTAGAAAAGTCCGTTCTCATCCGCATTATAATTGTCCCGTTGTTCATATCCTCCAGCAGTGTTGGCAGTCTCTCGAGCCACAGTTCTGTTCTTTCCATATCCGTCTTCCTCGTCGTCGGCAGCGAGTACTTGATACACTCGGAGACTAGTTTGAAGGTAGCTAGTCTTAATGTAAGAATTCTGATTTAACTCACATTGATTTTTTAATCACAATTGAATTTTTCGAGGATTAAAGAATGAAGAAACCGGGCATTTCGTAATGTGCCTTTTTTCTTGCCAACTATACCTACACCCATTCACACCTACCTGATCTGACTATGCCAATCGGAGGAGTATATCCTGCCCTTTCATATGTATATTTTGAACTGTCTTCAATATAACGTGTTTGCCCCCAAAAAATTAGTTGCCATGACCTTTGAAGTTACTCTCGTATAAGGATGATCATGTGTTTAATATTTGTATCAAAATTTACAGCCAGATTTAATACAGACATGTGTTAATTTGAATATATAGCTGAATATTAATTACAGCTCAGAAAATATATTTAAGGGATGCTCAACATTCTGTGTATTACAGCACATTTCTGGGTAATCCTGCTTAAATCAGACATTCTCGTAACAGTACATTTTATTGCTTCTTACAGATCGGATCCCAAACGAAACCTCATCGAAGTGTACCCAGAAGGTACAAGGTTTTTGCCGTTTACCAGTATTGTTGACACAGACTACGACTCCAGAGTCAAATTGTCACTGGCAGATTTACACCCTGAAACATTACTGTCTCCCACACCTGCGCGTGTAAGAGCATCAGTATCTCTTACAGTAGAATCACCACCAACCTCTCCTCAAACATACCCGAGGTCTCCTAAATCGATGGGATCTCCTCACACACATGGAAGTCCTCTTAAACAGAAGACATCCACTCCAACACGCTTTCTTCACCACAAGGGATCTATTGAAATGCATGCAGACCCACCTAAACAGAAGGGATCCATTCCGACACGCATTCCTAAACGTATTGGATCTGCTAAAATTCATCCAGACACTCCTAGACGGAAGGGACCTGCTCAGAGACGCATTCCTAAACAGATGGGTTCTGGTGAAATTCTTGAAGCCACTCTTAAACAAAAGGGATCCACTCCATCACGGCTTCCTAAACAGAAGACATCTCGGACACAAACTCAAATTGGAAAGCATCATCCCAGTCACACGCAAACAAGATTAAGCAGAAGGGCCCAAACACCAGATCCGGCTCCTAAAGGGAAAAGGCCACCTGCAACGATCTAACCGCCTCTAAACAGAACGGATCAGTTTAAAATGTTCGAGGCCTTCCTAAAAGGAAGGGATGGGTTTAGTATCATCTAGCTTTTCTGAACAGAAGGCAACTGCTGCATCACCACCTCCAGGCTTCCATGAATTAAAAACCTCATAAAGTTGTAAAATTTCAAGTTTCACTGTTGACAGTATAAAGTTGACTGATGTTGACTGGCGATTTAGAGGTGCTTCCGGACTCCACTATCGGGGCGATGAGTAAGCTGCATTGCGATGAATTTTTGTCAGATGGATGGACTGTGCAGGGATGATAGGGATAAGCAAATTGAGGGAAGGGGTGGACAAGTGGTGCCTTACTGGCCAAGATATCATTCCTTTAAGGAGTGGATAAGATGCTTCTAAGACTGGCTTAGGTGGAGAACATCCTTCTTGTTCATGTTGTCTAGTTGTGTCTTGTTTTCATTGGCCTCTGTGATCATATACTGATGTCCTGGCATCCTGTCCACCAAATCCCGATACATGGACCAGATGACCATGGAGGGCACTGAGATTCATGAACATGGAAGATAACCTCGGCCTGAGCTGGTTATGGAAGACTCTCATCCCTTCCGTGAAATATTGTAGGAAGCTCGTGCTTTTCTGCCCCCTTTGGCTAGGATGGGGTGGCCCAGGTCCTTCAATGGCTCCCTTGCTCTGTCTATCCTCTGCCTTGATCCATTTGTCTGGCCTGGTCTTTCTTATCTTCAAATGCTTTTCCATGTGCAGCTTACTCATTGCCCCTGATGATGGTTGCAGTAAGCACCTCTGAAACATGGGTGTGTTTCTAAGAGGGTTCATACTGCAACATCCCAGAAGACATTCATGTTCATATTTAAATGGTGTTAAATTTACAAATGAATGTTGTTGTAAGGCTTGTACTGAAAACAATAAAATATTAGTCATATGATATTTTTGTTTTACTGTTGCAGGTTCCATAACAAATGTGGACAAATTCTTCATAATTGTAAGATAATTTTTAATATGGAAAAAAAATCAATTGGTTAGAATGTAAAGGATCATACTACTTACAAATCATAGTCATGAAATTTCTCATTCTATTATACTCATAAAAATTAAAATTAAATCCGTGGCGTAACAGCTCCAGAGGGCCAAAGCCGACTACCTTGACTGCTGGCCTCACGTTCACATGCCTAAGCATAGGTGAACGATCATCTGACCAGATACAGGGTGACGTGTGGTCAGCACGACGAACCTCCAGCCATTGCTAGTTTCCATGAATACTTAAAGTATACTCTGTTTTAGTTCAAGCAACTTTTCTCTTTCCAGAATGACCATGGTAGAGAAGTTTGGTCTATGTATTCAATCTGAGGCAGCTATATATAATATTTGCCTGGTTATTCTGTTAAAACATACACACTTTAGCTGATCTTCGAATTCAGTCTGTATCATAGCATCATCCACGGCTAGTTCTTGAAAAATCGTCGGATTTGGCTTCATATGCAGTGTATTTCACCGACGTAAACTTCACAGAAGTATGAAACCACAAAATGTTTTTAAGGTAGCTTTCCATTTATAATCACTGAAATTATGTATCTTCAAACTTAAAAGAAGGCAGAAGACTTCTTTCCAACATGAATAAGATAAATTATATAAAAGTAATTGTTATCAAGTACTAGGTCCATCAGAAATATATTGCCAACACAACATATGAAGTTTATGATTCTATCATTCATCTGTTCTGCTTAAAAATACTTCTGTTGCTGCAGCAGTGCAAATAATCTGAGAACCAAATTATCATTACAGGAACAAGACTGAAAGTGATGTGTCTTTATAATAACCAAGATCTTCTGTTGTACACGCCTCACGTTAATTCATTTGATTTTTCAAAGTGTTTACATTACAGCACGGACATGTCATACTCATCATATCAATGGAAAAATTAAAATACTTTATAGGAGATCAGAAACAAAGGCATTTGTCAATGTTGTGCTTAAAAACTTGCATGCTACAATATGAAGTTCATTGCATTCTGCAAAACATATCTACTAGACCAGGGGTGGGGAACCTTTTCATGTTGGAAGTCCGCATTAATTTAGCTGTAATCAAATAAGGCCGCATTCAAAAAACTTCAATTAGACATACTTAAAAATATACATTATGTTGTAAAAGTCTAACTAATATGTACTTAATAATTTCAAAAAATAAAAACTATTTGTTAATTTTAAAGTTAACTAATCTTTTAATGACTTTCTTTTTGTTGGAAATCATTTAAATGTTTGGTTGCAGCATGTATTAATAAAAATAAAAATATTTGTTCTGTAACATTTGGATTCAATCAAAAGGCCGCACTTAAGGACCTAGAAGGCCACATGTGGCCTTAAGGCCGCAGGTTCCCCACCCCTGTACTAGATTATTTACATGTCAGGAATAAGTGTTTAATGTGTCTGAAGTAAAACTGTTAACATGTGCCCTCAGGTTTCATTCTATTTGTTGACCACAACATACCTAATCATGATTAATGATTTTAATGATATTTCATCGTGCTTCAAGAGAAGAACAGTCTTCTACAGTTTGCTACAACTGATTTAGTAAAACATTTCAAATACAGCAAGGCCACCAATCTACAATGGGAACAATACACGTGATTCAGTTTATTAACATATGTAGACCGACATTTTATATTGTGAACATTTTTTTTTGTAATAACAATAAAATAAGATCACATTTTATTCACAATAATATAGAAACTTTTAACAATTTATTTTTATACACAGCCATAGTTGAGAATATATTAATGAAGCTTATATATATATACATATGACTTCTTTTTACAAACATACACACATTCACTACAAATGGTAGAAAGCATTCTATATCCCTCTATATGTGATGTGTTAATGCCATATGTGCAGCCAGGGTTACATTTATAGTGGACATTCAATATATGGGGAAACAACTTGATTCAGCCAAGATATACTGCAAATATCAAGAAATATATGAAACAGTCAGTGATTCCCACTCTTAAGTGTGAAATACAAAACTTCTAAAACCATGCAATACTTTAATGTTTCTAAAAGTTCCTAGAAAGTATAAAAGAAATCAGAAATACTGTATTATATGCAGGAATGAATATCGTTATCTGAAATAACACAACACAAGGAACACAAAATTTTAGAAATAATCATTTACAATACTGAATGTTTTAAGTGACTGAGGCAGTACACTTGGTCCCCAAAAGAAAAGTTATAATAATTTTACCTCATCATAAATTAATTGTATTTATGTAAGCATAATAGAAGAGATAAATTAACTTGACTGTCGAAGCATTCATTTCCAGTGTGAAAATGCCTTGTTTTCTGTGACTAGAGGTATTATGAGTTGTAGGTTAACTGTTATAATTATTAACCTATATTATAGAGCTCGTGTTAAAAGTAAACCAGTCCATCGTAATTCTGCAATCATTTTATGATACATTTGAAACTGCAGAGTAGCCTTAAAAAAATCCGTAACTCTTATACACATTCCTTGAAAAAATTTCCATATACTGTGTCTGATATCAATGCCTCTAAGGGGGTAGAGTCTTATTCTTCAGTGGATAAAATAAGATTTAGCTTTTTTCCTTTTCACAACCAACATCTGTGGGAGAATAGAAAATGGAGCATCTCCAATCCAGAAAACAGGGAAGAGCTGAGAAGAAAAGTACAGAAGGCAGTCATTTGAATTAAGCCAGGCAAATGAGAAAATTGACAGATCACTACTACTCTCTGATGACACATCTTCAAAACTAATATACTACAGAAAAGTAGTTGTAATTTCAGACAAATTCATAGTTATGGTGAATGTTACAGCTGCTTAACCTTGAGTCTCACAGTTTGTAGATCAATATGCTAAACTGTTTATTGTTCCTCTGATATGTATTACCAGAAAACTACTCTTATTTTTGAATGACCTTGACAACTGCTGAACATTCAGATAGATGTTATATTTAGCATGCACATAACTGGCATTATTATTATTAATTGATGTCAATGAACTGGATAAATTTCAGTACAGAAGGAATCTGACTTCTGTAAGAGGGCACAGAAAGCTATTCTATTGTGGATTATCTCTGATCAAGCTCCATCTGTACAAATATGACACACAAACAAGTATATTTTCCATGCCTGATTTGACACCTGCTCCCATTGGCTCGAGGCAGGCTACTCCATTCATGGTCTGGCTCCTATAAACCTAGCCCCATCCACCCGATTGGCATTTTCATCGCCATGATGACAGAGGCAGTATGACCTCTGAAACGTTAGTCAACATCGACCAGACTACACAGCGCAACAACCCAGAAGACAGAAATCTTCATACTCTGATGACGGAGGCAGTATGACCTCTGAAACGTTGGTTAACATCGACCAGACTACAC